GCTTTAATAATGCTAGACAGAAAGATAAGGAAAGAATACTGGCTACAATGCAGAGCGTAATAAAATTAGTAGGAGGTTCTAGTAACATTAAAAACCGAGACATTGATGAAAAGTTTGATCTTTTATTGGAAGCGAATGATCAACTGCTAGATCAAGCTGTAAGCATTTTATAATTAATTTGAATGTTTTAAATAAATTTAGTTTTTTAATCATTTTTCTTGTCTCTGTATTTTCTGTTACAGAATATATTAATGGATGAGGAAAGTGGTATTCTACGAAATCCTCAGGTAGAATTGGTTGTATCACAGATATCAAAACCAATTGTGAATGGCTCTTGGAATATAAAGACTAATACCAACCAAGTCTCAGATATTTCAGAGAAAGTACGGTTGTTGGGTGGAAAAAATATACAAAGACCACAGTTAATGTTCAAGGATAAAATTGATAATAGTTCAAAGCCATGGATGCCTCGAATTAAGGATAAACCAAACTCCCTGAAGCCATTGGCTCTTTATGTCGAAGAAGATGAACATGGCGAAGTCTTTAATCACCCTTATGAATTTGAACTAGATAAATTTGAAACACCGGAATGTCAGCTGAAGAAGAGAATACCTGTTGAATATAAGTCATTGGACGATACCAATTTTGTATTCATTGAAAAGCCAGCTGATATCAACGTTCTCTTAGAAGATCTGAGAAATTATAAGGAAATAGCTGTGGACTTGGAACATCACTCTTATAGAACATTTCAGGGCATAACTTGCTTAATGCAAATATCAACGATACATACCGATTACTTAATTGATACTTTGAGCCTACGATCAGAATTATATCAACTGAACGAGATTTTTACAAAACCTTCTATCTTGAAGGTCTTTCACGGTGCTGATATGGACATTTTGTGGCTCCAAAGGGATTTGTCGCTGTACGTAGTGAACATGTTTGACACTCATCAAGCTGCAAAACAGCTCAATCTACCGTATCTCAGTTTGGCTTATCTATTAAACAAATATTGTGGTATAGATCCCAACAAACATTTTCAATTAGCCGACTGGCGTATACGGCCTTTACCATTAGAACTAATGAAATATGCGAGAGAAGATACACATTATTTGCTTTATGTAAAAGACATGTTGAAGAACGAATTGATTGATGTGGCTAATGGCAAAAGCAATATCTTAAAGGCTGTGTATGATCAAAGCACTGAAATTTGTAAGCGCACGTATGTGAAACCAATTTGGACAGAGGAAAGTTGTATGAACATGTACAGGAAGAGTCAAAAGTCTTTCAACAATAAACAGATATATGCACTTATGGAATTGCACAGATGGCGAGATGTCACAGCAAGGCAGGAGGACGACAGTATCGGCTATATATTACCGAACCACATGCTACTCAATATAGCTGAGACGCTGCCACGTGAAATGCAGGGTATTCTAGCATGTTGTAATCCAATTCCGCCATTAGTACGACAAAACTTACTGAAAATACACAAGATAGTATTGAAGGCTAGGGAGCAACCGCTTGTAAAATCTATTGCTGAACAGGACATTCGGCAGAGACTGACACAACAAAATCATACAGACACTGGAGCTTCCTTATATATACCGCATGATGTACCAAGTGGTACAGAAGCAAGAGCAGATTTGCCATGTCTTTTAAACAAGAATATTGTGAGATCAGAACTCTCAGAAGCAAACAAGTGTCAGACCACCAAGCATACTATAACGATATTCGATTCATCAGTTATATCAGAGGTAAAATGATAGTGATAGTAACTGTAAGATAATTATAGATAGGAAATAATGATAATGATAGTTATAGATAGGAAATAGAGTACTTTGGACATACAGGATATCCAGAAAATCGCCCGCAATACTTCGGGAAGTGATTTGGGACCCCAAAAGAAGGGAAAAAAACTATATAACTCGGAAATGACTTATTTCTGGACTTATGTTTATATATTTTTTTCTTTTTGAGTCCGTCTTTTGGCCGAATCATTTCCCAAAGTATTGCGGGCGATTTTCCGGGCATCCTGTATATAATGTGTGTGTAAATATGTTAATGAGTTACTTCTTATTTCAGGACGAAGAAACAAAAGGTAGTAAGAATGAGAATAAAAAAAAGATTATATTTATAAGTCCGTTTATGAGATACAAATGTGTCATACCAATGGTAATGGATCAGGAAGCAAAAGAACGGGAGGAAGAACAAAAGAAAGAAGAAACAGAAAAAGAAGAAAAGAGATTGACTATGAAAAGCCAGAACGAATGTATAAACGAGACTGAGATTAACGAGAGTAAAAACAGAGTTTATGAACATTTTAAACAAATGTCTCAACAGAATATACAAGCGGAGGTTCAACTCAAAAAGAAAAAGAAGTCCGATAGTACATTTCTCAATCTAATACATAGACAAAGGAAAAGAAAACTTGACACTGGAAATAAAAGTCAAAGAAAGAACGACGGCAATGATTTTTCTACATCGACATCACATTTAAATATTGAAACTATACATGTATCCAAGAAAGCAAAACAAAAAACACTGAAAATGGTTGAAGAACAAAAGTTGCAAGAGAGTCTTGCAGAAGTTCAGAGTGATAATAGAAATTCTGTAACAATTAAATCGATAAGGTAAGTTGTTTGTTTCAAAAAAGAAAATACAACACACATATTTGTGCGTAGTAATAACATAATATATTCTTAATGTGGTGATAGAACTAGGAAACAAGGTGACAAAAAAACGAATGAGAAAATGTTGAAGAAACAAGGTTTGTTACCATCAAAAAAATTCGATTACAAATCAGTAGACTTTAGCAGTTTCCAAGGTGGCAGTACACAAAGTAGTGCAAATAGGACTCAGTTTCAGAAACCTCGAGTAAGTAAACATTGTTTTATTTTTTTTATAAGTAATTAATATGAAAAATAATTTTATATTAAAATTTTATAACAGCAAAAGAAGAAGGAGAAACACTTCCAGAAGTGGAAGAAGCAAAAACTTAATATATGATTACAACGCAATTTTTGTCTTCATTTTCCATCAAATTATCTTTAGAAAAAAAGATAATTTTAGATAAATTCTGACAACAATAAGGATTGTATGTACAAGTATATATTGTATATAAAAATATTGTTTCTCTGGATTTAGATTAATATTTAACGTTGACTTTTATTTCATATTAATAATTTTAAAGAAATTTTCTTATATTTTTTAAAATATGAAAGATGTACTTGAATATAGTTTACTAATCTAACTGTAATATCAAACTGTTTATTAAATTACTCATTTTTTTTTGTTTTTTCTTTAATAATATATGTATATATTATACATATACAATATGTATCAGTAAAAAGTTTGGACACACTACATGATTTTCTCGATAGCATACCGAGTAATGTAAATATAGAAATTACAACCTACATTACTCGTAAGACATCAATCAAAAATTTATTGCAAGATACTGGCAGTACAAAAGCGCTGATTCAAAGAATCGCGCAAAAGTTGCAAAACAGTAAATATATCGATCTTCAATTATACTTCGTAAAAAAAAATTATAATTATATTTCGTCAAAACATAGATATTAAAGGTTAACATAAACAAGATAAGGCTACGAGAATGTTACGAAAATCCGATATTATAATTTTCAATATAATTTCACGCATTCATGATTCTGATATTCAGAATGGATCCAAATCAGTTATGAAAAAACAGCATAGATCATCATATTGCATAAGTAGGGCTATTTCAATCATTAAATTGTTAGAATTGTTCAAATTCTTACAATTCTTACAATTAATGAGAAAGGCTATTACAGCCATTTTATATAGATGCATCCAAACTTTTGATCGGTACTCTATATGTGCATGCATGTGTGTATAAATTAATAATAATTTTTACGCATTTTTATGAAAATAGATATAGAATTCATATAATAATTACGTTCGTATACTCGTGTTGAAAATATTTTATGTTATTAGTTTTAGTTACAGGGGGGGGTGTCTATGTCTACCGATCCTTGAATGTCCTTAAATCCTGGAATTATCCTGAAATTTAATGTATTCTGAAAAACTCCTGAAAAATCCCTACAATTTTAGGACTGACCTGGAATTTTATCATTCTTTCATTAACAAAAAATTGGACCATGAAAAAAGAAAGAAATTAAAAGTATTTTTCGCGCTTACGCAAGAACTATATCGAATTTTATGATCAATTTAGAAGACGTTTAAAAGCAAGTGCGGATATTAAAAATTAAACTAACAATTTAATAAAGCGTCAATAAATTGATAATTTCTTAAGATGTAATATGTTAATAAAAAGAAAAGTTATATTTAGATATAAGCCCTTCTTTAAAAATGTAATAAGACAAGTTACTAACAGAAAACTTAGTTAGACTTTAATATCTAACATCGAATATAGCAGAGAAATCATCTTTTGTGTATTGAATGTTTTTTTATTACTTATAAGTATCAATAAGATAATATTGTTCCAAATCCAAATTTGTTTACATTTTAATTAATCCATCATATACAATTTTAATTTGCTATATAGAATGCAAATTTTAATTTGCTATATTTGCATAGAATGCAAAATATATGTGCGAATTAATGAAACTCGATTAACTAATGAAGATTAATTGACCTGGAAAATTAGGATTTATACCTAGAATGTCCTGGAATTATCCTTAAATTGATTAGCCAGATATCATTGAGTACTCTATATTAATACTAGTTATTAATGTTATTAATAACTAGTTTTAATTAAATATGAGTCAAATTAAAAAATTTAAATTGTTATTCCACTTTTTTATCAGTTAAAATAAAAAGAAATATTGACTCTTTCTAAATAAATAAAAAATATTACATCATTATATTGGTTTCTATTTTCGTAATGTATATTATCAGAAGCCAATTCATCTTTATTTAATCAATGTTATTTTAACTGTATAAGAGTGAGGAGTTGTTTATCTGAAAATTTTCCGATTAAGTACGAGTCATCATAGTTTATCTAACAAAATGGGATGATAAAATATTTCATATATATACATGTATGTTAAAAGACAACGTATCAAAAGCCAATGTGCTAGTCGATGATGACGATGGTATTTGCAATCATTCTTACGTTCACCGTTTTGTACCATTTTTCCATTGGAGAATGTTTTCGCTTACGGCATCCACATTTGACAAACGTAACTCAGTCTTTTGAACATGCACTGAATGAAACGACGTTCGTCACAACTCTGCCTCTATTTAATGAGACGACTACTTTGACGAATTTCACATATACATTGTCCACTAGCGCAAGCAACTCGAGCGAATTGTTCAGCGATTTATCGCAAGATGCACAACAATCCCGACAAGTGGACTGCTTCGGAATGGGAAAGACAGTCGCGGCGACTCTGGAGTGGTTCTTTAGAAGTAAACCTAATGGGAGTGACGCCTTGGACGTGCAATTTCTTCTGTCCTCTAGAAAACAACCTCGCCGCGTACAAGTAGTGCTTGGCGAACAGTTCGGTTTAGAATGGACAGATTTTAAAATAGAACGCAGGACGGTGGTCATAGTACATGGTTTTCTGTCTCATGGCCAAGAAACATGGATTAGGGACATGGAAAAGGCATTACTCGAATGGGTGAGTCCATCGATTGCAGTCTTATTATCTAAATAGTCACTCATTTTTTATGGAATCGTATATGATCGTATACAGGGTGATGTTAACGTGGTGATAATAGATTGGAGTGCCGGCGGTAATACGTGGAATTATTACAAAGCAGCGGTTAATACCAGAATAGTCGGATATCAATTATCAAAGTGCGTACGCAAAAAGTATATGTGATACATGGTAATTGATAACTTGTTAGACAATGCAATAAATTCGAAAGAAGCTCCAAATGCCGCGACGCTTTCGAACGATTGTATTGCCTAGGTATACAAGTAGATTAGTCTGCTAATGCTTTCTAATGTCGACTTGTTCACCAAGATTTATAGAACACGTAACGAACGCTACAATCGCGCAACCGGGCGTAAATAATTGGGGTCCTTTACATCTGGTAGGACATAGTCTTGGTGCTCACATTTGTGGATTTGCTGCAAGAGAGCTGAAAAAAAGGCAGAATAGATGGATTGTGCAGAGAATCACCGGTCTGGATCCGGCGCAGCCATGTTTTCGCAAGGCTGATACATCTGTTCATTTACATAAAAATGACGCACCATTTGTCGACGTAATACATACAAACGGCAAATTACTCACAAGTCTGGGACTTGGCTTACCCGAAGCTATAGGTAGCTCATTGATTGACTTGATCCATCCATAGTTTATCGCGCGCACTTTTTCCTTCTTCTCGACAATGTATAACTTTGGAATCGTAATTCCCAAGAAGCTCGTTTATTTAATCTCTTAATCCTAATATCATTCTGTAAATAGGTCATGTTGATTTTTATCCGAACGGCGGTAAAACGCAACCTGGCTGTGTACGAACGTCATATTTCGATTACTTACCGATTCCTACGGCTGGTTAGTATAAAATGACTATTAACTAGCTAGTGCTAGTATATAATGATTATCAACTAGTTAACTGGAACTAACAATAAGTAAAAAAATTTGTTGTTACACTTGTAGCGATACAACGAGCGATATGCAGTCACGGACGTTCTTACGTCTATCTCACAGAATCTTTAACGTCTGCTATTGCGCGCAATTGCAGTTTCTGGGCACACCAATGGAATTTGACATATAGGCATTTTTTACAAATAATTGCGGAACCATGTGATGAAAACACTTGCTCGGAAATGGGCATTAGAGCAGAAATGTACAAACAGCGTGGAAATTTTTTCGTGGCTACAGCCAGTACCAGTCCGTTCTGTGGTGTGTGTAGTAATTGCATCAAATAATGACGTTATTATTTCATGATATTGTTACGCAATCATTTTGTTACAGCCAATAGCACCGATGTCATAGAAGAGATAAAAAAGCAATTGCAACAGGATTACTTTGGCCATACGGAGGATTAACAAATTGCACACTGCAATGAACAACTTTTTTGTAAATAAATTAATTATATCAGTACTGGTAGAATATACATATATACTTAATAATTTTTTATACATATAATCTGAATATTTATAATTGATTGTTTGATACAAATATATAATTATATATGTATACACAATACATACATAATTTTTTATTTTTGCATACGCGCGGTTCTGTCCTCTCAACAGTTTGTTTTGAGAGTTCGCTACATATTTTCACATGACTCATAAATTTTCAATAAATTACAAAGAAAAAATTATACGCGTGCGCGTGTAATAATCTTGACTTTAAAAGTGAGATATATGTACATATACAATATACAACATACTTGAAAAATAATATTCCCAAGCTGAAATGTAGTGACAAAAGAAAAAATTGTAAATAAATATGATAAGCAATAATAATTTTTATAACGCCAAATTAAAGAAATACACCAGTTATAAAGATTCGTATCAATATAATTTCATGCTAGGAAAGTAACTTTTCAATAAGATAGATCATGCGATTAAACTTATATTGCTTATTTTTATAAGAATTATAGATATAATACTCACGATGAGTTAAAATGCATTGTCAGAATTAATAAAACTATTCAGAGTCGTAACTCAGACCGATCTGTTTCACAGTACGTTTTACCGATACGTATAAACAAGCATTAATTATATGTATAGTAGTAACAGAACGATAAATGTATACATAGCGCAAAAAAAATAGTAACGACATGATTAAAATATTTCCGCCAGACCTCGACACTAGATGTATTGAATGTGGTGGTAACTACTATTTGGTATTCTCAAGTCATCTTTATGCGAACTTGTGATCGAATATCCTCGATTTGTGCATATAAAGTAATCGTTGCATGTAACGTTATTGGCACATTATAATACTCTTATCTGATTTAACGAAGCCAGATGGAAACTCCTGTAAGAGGATACTATCATTATAACACGTGGTCGACGTCTCATCATTTTTTCTTCGAAATGTTAGTATGTATATATCTCCCTATGCATATCAATATAATGTGAAATCATTCACGTTTATGCTAATGAATGACTTGGACATAAGTGGCAGGGAATATACCGGTACGGCCTCTGCACTCGCCTATCCACCAGCCATCTGGCTGTTTTTGATGAACAGTTATCAGGTCTCCCGGACTAAGACTGAGCTCGTCATTTAGATTCGCGGAATATTGGTAGATCGCTCGGCATTGCTCTGCGCCTTCAATCTTAACCGATGGTACTTCCGTACTATCAATTTGATTGTTGTTGTCTTCCGAGTGACTGCTAAACTCGTCGAAGTCACTAAAATCATCTTCGTCCGGTGGATTCTCTGAATTGCCGTCACCGGCAGTGCGATCGGCCCAATCGCGAGTTTCGCCGTCCTGATCCTTGGTCAAATGTAACTCGAGCTCATCGTCACTGTCTTGAACCTCGAAAGATTCATTCTTTGCCCAAGAAGGAATCTACAAGGAGGATCAGAGAATATAAGGTCTTATTTGTTTTATAACATAATTGTCGATTTTTTATATATATATATATATATCTCCCCCCCCCCTCTCTCTCTCTCTCTCTCTCTCTCTCTC